CATATTGTTTGCCCCTGGACGTTTTTGCTCAGGGGGAAAGCATTGTCCCGCAGAAGGGAAGGGTCCCAAAGTCCAATTCCTGTCAAGGCACATGCTGGGTTGCAGGCTCGATCCCCAGTAGGGGGCGTGCCCGAGGCTGCCAATCAATGATTCTCATCAATTCTCTCATCTAACTACAAATTTATCTCTCTCTCCCTCTCCCTTCCTCTCTGAAATCAATAAAAATGTTTAAAAACAAAAAAAAATATTGTTTGATCTGTTAGAGGAATGGCTATAACCTTGCTTTAGGCAAAGTCTTTGCTCACTTTGAGAATCAAAACAGCCATATATCAGAATAAATAAATACAATTTATTTCACATAGGTTGAGGCTGTTGATTTACACCAACCAAGCATCCTATATAATTCTTTGGGTGATTTGCAACATATAGTAAAAACAATCAGTAAAAAAATAAATAAATTAATAATAATAATAATAATAATAATAATAATATAGAAAACAATGCATTCTCTTCAGGATTGTAATCCCACTCTTGAAACGCTTCCTAAGGAATTGAATCAAGGAAATGAGAAGCTTTATGTATAAAGCTGTTCACAGTATCATTATTTATGACAGCCAAGAAGAAAAAGGTAAGTAGCTTAAAATTCAAATATTCTACAATAAAGGAAAGACTGAGTGAATTATAGCCATAAATATCATGTATTAATATGGGGAAGTGGTGCAACTATGTAGGCAGTGGGAAGGGAGATAAGAAGATGCATGTGGATATGGATAAGATTAGAAGAGCAGTCAGAGAATTAGTGTTTTTGTCAGGCTGTTAGAATTGTGAATACAAAGGGTTTCTGTTTAAATTTCCTTTATTGTTCTCTGAGAAACAACAGCCACAACAACGAAAGTAAAATAAACTTACCCCGATTGCTGACCATGGTTTTTCTGATGTCATGTGTCCTCTGCATGATTCAGGCGAGGTGCTCCCAGGAAGGAAGGCGCTGTGGCTGTGTGAAGAGCACCCCTGCCGTCCGGGGAATAGTCTTCCTGTGGGTTTTGCACATCCACGTAAGTTGACCCACTGATCACCTGTCTCTGAAGTGATGCTCCAGCTGTTTGTTATGCATCATCATAGGAATAGTTTTCCAACAATAGGCATGAATTGCAGTCACCTGTTCTCTTGCCAGGGCCATAATCAGTTTCATGAAACTAGAAGCCAGTAGTTCTAGTTTAGATGTAACTTGGTAGATACCAAAGGAAATTTAAAAAAGATGAAACTGATTATCTAGGAGTTAAGCCAAGCCTATGGGTCTTTAATACAATGCTGGAGAGACTTACTCACCCTCCCCACCACTACTAAAAACACCCAAATTCTTCTGTGAGATTACTATGATTTGTATGATTGTCCAGCTTGGCAAGAGCAAGAACTAACCCCTGATGAAGAGTAGGTGTAAATTTCTTATGTTGAAGATTCCTACAATGGGCTTACTCCTTGAGATGGATAATATATGAGTGTGATACACATGCTCCTTGCCAGCTAGGAAGGCTGGTGGTTGTCATTGCTTTAGAAAAAGTGAAAAAGGAAAACAGATGAGGGGGTTTTCAGAGCAAGGGCAGGGGCGTGTGGATGAGCAATGCCAAATATCCCTCGGACCTAGTAGAGCTGGAGAAGGTCATGTTAGAAGGACAGAGGGAAGCTCATCAGGAATTACCTGCCAACCAGGCCTGAGGACACCCGTGGAGCCAGGGTCCTCATGTCCACAGGGCTCTCACCTGGCAGGAGTCTTGATGCAGACAGAAGTCTGGCTTTTCCAGGGATAAAGGGCTCACGCTGCCTTATTAAGAACTTCCACAAAGTAATCCAGCATACACGAATATTTATCTAGATAATTAATCTTAGAGAAACCAACCTGAAAGAGGATGAAGACAGGGAAATCCTGGAAGATCCTTTGAGACTTTGCCAAATTAAACTATTCGTGTTTGTGTGCCTATGTTCTGTATATAGTACACACACTGAGTTTCTTCTACTCCGAAGTGAAACTGACTGTGGTCTTCACGTACTAGGCAAGTGTCAGAAACTGAAAGAGTCTTTGTGGGGAAATAGCACAACCAGAGAAAGACAACACCATAAAATGTTTGGAGAACATTTTATTTTACAATCCTGGAGCATTAACATCTGGTAGCAGCAAACACACAATGCAATGCCGATCTATTTAAAACTCGTGTCATGGGAAATATGTGTTTTGAAAATGGTAACACTCGCACAGTAAGAGACTTAGAGGTCAGCTGATAAAAATGTTTAAAAAAATCAAAACTCTCATTCCCTCATCACCAACAACCACAAAAACAGCTGTAACATTCATCGGGTACATTCATCCACTTTACATTCGCAAAGAAGATTGTCATTTCATCAAATATATATCAAATCATCACATTCTGGAAGGCAAGATAAATCTTCAGGCTTAACTCTACAAATTTAAACATTTATATAAATATTTCACTTAAAACAACCAAAACATTAAGAATAGCAGCAGCATGGGTCTTTATTATAATATTACAGTAGTTTGTTCTGTGATATATATATATATATATATATATATATATATATATATATATATATATAGTAGATCTTTCATTATTAATATTATTTGATACACTTTACAAACCCCAAGTCCTGGTCTCATCACCAAATAACTTAGAGTGTAGATTCAGTAAATACGATGCAAAGAATAATGATAAAGCACGGACTGCAGGACATCCTCCAGACCAGCGGGGATCGCGCAGAAAGGCTGTAGGGAAGGTCAGGCTGGGAGGCGTGTAGGGATTCTGCAGGGTCCCTGAGGCCAGGGCATGTTCTGACCGGCTCCCTGAAGGTTAGATCGTGAATCCTGAGAAAAGTTTCTGTGGAACAAAAGGCACTGCCACCTTTTCATGGTTCCATGTTTCATCTGAACATGGAATTAGGCTGATTAATAACTTGCCCATTTCCCAAGGAACAAGAACTAGAATCATTCCTCCTGAGAGGCAAGACACTGGGCCAGGAGGTCGACATTTGTTTTTCAGTATTTGCATTTATTCTGATGACCCAAGGCATAAAAACCAAGACTGCATCAGGGCCTTGTGTACTTAAGCCTGGATGAAAGGAAAAGTACTTCAATTCATCGTCCCAGTCTAAGCCACGGGACCAACTCACTAATCCTATTGGCTTAGAAAGAAGCCCCACATGGAGTGACTGGAGTTTCTGCATACCTGGATTTGGTTCCAGACGTTGTCCCTGCAATTATGGCTTCTTTTTATATTTCAAACGTTTTTTTTCTGAAAAGGCAAATGGTTAAGTCTAACAATGGTGTTGGATCTATGTTAGCTTTATTGTAGGCTGCTGTTCTCTGACACTTCAATAATTTGTCCCTATATTCAAAACACTTCATAGCTGTATTATTTACAATAGCCAAGATCTGGAAACAGCCCAAGTGCCCATCAGTAGATGAGTGGATAATAAAGCTGTGGTACATTTACACAATGGAATACTATGCAGCTATAAAAAAGGGACACCTACCTTTTGTTACAGCATGGATGGACCTGGAGATTATTATGCTAAGTGAAATAAGCCAGACAAAGGCAAATACCATATGATCTCAATTATATGTTGACTCTAATAAATAAAATAAACCGATGAACAAAATAGAACCAGAGGCATGGATACATGAAACAGACTGACAAGAGTTCAGAGTGGAGGGAATGAGGGAACTGGATGAAAGAAGGTGAAGAGATTAGCCAAAGAACATTTATGGATAGCCCATGGACACGGACAGCAGTGTGGGGAGGGGGCTGGGTGGAGGTAGGCAAAGCCAGGATAGGCAATCCAGTGCTCACTTCAAAGACCAAAGTGACAGCTTGTCACAGTCACTCACACTAACGACCTGATAAGGATGTTCTGCACAACTCAGCTCTACCCAACAGTTACTTATCTTTAAGAACAAGGACTTGGTAATTGTTTTCTGAAGAAGAAAGTAATTTGAAGCAGGCAGGGGGAAGAAAGGAAGAAAAGTGAGTCCAAGGGAGACAATGGTGCCACTTGGCAGTTAGTATCATCAACTTGAAAACAAGCAAAGTTCATTTCACAGACATTTTAAAAAGTAGTTAAATACTTCAAACTTCCAAATAGGCTCACACTGGCATTGATTATTACATCTTTATATAGTCCCTGAGGCTGACACTGAAACATAAGATCACCCAGAAATTTTTACGAGTCCCTTGATTTCCCAAAACATAAAAACCCTGCTCCTATCCCATTTCACCTCCAGCACCACACAGTTACATTACAGTAGATGTATATTTGACTCATTTGGTAGTTGTCTAAGGTGTAGGTTTTACAAAATATCTTTTTTTAATATATTTTTTATTGATTTTTACAGAGAGGAAGGGAGAGAGGGATAGAGAGTTAGAAACATCAATGAGAGAGAAACATTGATCAGCTGCCTCCTGTACACCCCACACTGGGGATGTGCCCGCAACCAAGGTACATGCCCTTGACTGGAATTGAACCTGAGACCTTTCAGTCCGCAGGCCGACGCTCTATCCACTGAGCCAAACCAGTCAGGGCTAAAAAATATCTTTAATCAATATTCTTGCTATATCCTTAGGAAAATTATCTTGCTCTCTCCGGATCTAAGCTAAGAAGACTGCAAGGAACTTTCACAATTTTAAGTTTGGGTTCCACTTGGACAGTTGCTGGAGAAGAAATTTATCTTAATGGCCATAATAATTAATTTTGAAAGCTGTCATATTTCATATAGTCTTTTCAAGAAAATTCAGTGATTCTTGCCCTAACCGGTTTGGCTTAGTAGTCATATAAATCCCTTTGTTCCTCTTCAGATACCACATGTCTCAATCCCCCTACTTACCCCACACACCTCCCCAACATTCAGACACTATAAATGCCACACCCACAGAGTCTCCCGACCCTGAATTGAATGAGTGAGGCACCAAAAGGTAAATTATGCTTTGGCAAGCAGGAAATTGGACGATTTTTTGAGCTCTTCTGAGGTAGTGAAGTCTCTCCTTCTAATATTCTAATGGTTAGAAAAAGTTGAATGAGTTGAATTAAGAGACAAGTGGAATATTGGTCACTGTACTTAAATGCTATTCTGAAATGGGAGGTTTATATGGGTGATCACCACACTCTAAAACTTACTCAGCAGGATCCAGGTTGTTACGTGGCGAACTTAAGATATTAAGGTTGCTGTGTGAGTAGGGAAAGACATTCCCTTGAGAGCATTGTATAAGTCATTAAAACTTGGACTTAATTGCTACACATTTCTAAAAAATTGTCTGGCATACAGTAGGAGATCAATAAATATCTGATGGCTGTTTAAGAACTCTGATTTATCTCAGTGAAATTACAGGCAGAAACAAACAGGCCCAGCTGGTGTGGCTCAGTGGTTGAGAGTTGACCTATGAACCAGGAGGTCGTGATTCCATTCCTGGTCAGGGCACATGCCCGGGTTGCAGGCTCGATCCCCAGTAGGGGGCATGCAGGAGGCAGCCAATCAATGATTCTCTCTCATCACTGATGTTTCTCTCCCTTTCCCTTCCTCTCTGAAATCAATTAAAAAAAAACTTTGTTTTTTTAAAGAAACAAACAAAAGTACTCAACCAACTGCAGGCTAGTTGTCACCAAAGGCCAAGTCACTTTCCCTTGTGCATGGAATTTTAGATCCCTTTCAAACAATTAGAAAGTTAAGCTCATATGGTACTGGATTTGGGATAGTATACAACTCCATATTAACTCCATTTATCAGATGCCTTATTTCCATCATGATTTTATCATGATGAGATTGTGGGATTTTTAATCCATAAATAACTTTTCTGAAGACAAATTGATCCACTCTCTCTGTTGTTCTTCAAGCTTTTCTGCCAAGCATTTAATCAAGACAGGGTCCACCTTAGAATCAAATTTATTAGCAAACCAATGTCCATCTTTGATAAGCCACCTCAATTCTGCTGCTCCATAGATACACACACTTCGGCGGTGAGAACCAGTACAACTGGGATAGAAAAGGCCTTCGTGATAATTCCATTTGACAAGGCGGGTCTTGCTCTGTAGGTCAGACACATCCTCGGCTGACCGAGAAATCTCCCCAGGGATTCCTGGCACCCGAATTAAGGTAGCCCAAAAATGCTCATCAGGCGAGTAGGTGTCTTCAGACCAGGCAAAGAAGTCTTTAACGAGGGAGTTGTTGAAAACATATTTAACAAATGCTCGACTTAAAACAAAGTAAGCACTGCCAACAAATATCTCAATGTTATGAGGGGGTGCCTCTTTGGAGATGTTTGTCCTTACTGGTAGCTTCACATATTCATAAGGCAGCTGTCTGAGCTCATGGTGATAAGTGAATCTTTCCGTTTTACTGTTAGGGGGTTTCACTGTCTCTAACATATTTGCTCCATTGAGTTTCTTCAACTCTGACACTAATTCAAAGTTTGACTTCAAAGGAAAGTCTTGCCCACACAGGTTGATAACATATTTCCATTGAACTGAAGACTTGAGAAGGTCTGACAAGCAATTTAAATCAGCTTGGAGTCTGGAAATGTGGGCATAATGCACAGTCTCTAATTTGGAAGCAATGAAAATATTGGAGAAGCACTTAGCTAAATTGTTCATGGCGACTTTGAAGGTGTCGGGTGACGTACGGTCATAATGGATGCAGTAAATATTGTGCTGGTTGTATATCGCATGGATTAGCCTTTCAACCATAATTGCATCTTTGTGAACCACCAAAGAATAGGCTATTGGGAAGCTTCTCTCTTCCCTTGAAACGAGCTTTTGATGGTACCTTCTTAGGATCTGGTAAACGTCACAATTGCTGGTCATTGCCACAACGTCATCATCATCCAAGTCGATGATGTCTCTTCTTCTAATTTCCAGAGTCTTGCCAATTTCCAGAGGCTCCTGTTCATAGACACCCGAACAGTTAACTTTATACCGGATTTCGTTGTTAACATGGGTGTATCTGTTCCTTACAAAAGGGGAGGTGCTGAGGAAGTGCTCCACCAGGTAAATGCCTCTCTGAGGGAAGAGGAGTCTTCCTACATTTAGAAGCTTCAACAAGGAGAACAGCCACAGGGTTAAAAACAGGATGAAGACTTTCTGCTGCAGGGGGTATTTAATACAACATCTGAATATCTTCATTCTGTAAAAGGCAAAAGGAATAATTCAGTGGAAACATTCAGATAAAATTACTTCAACAGACACAGACAATAGGGTGGTGAAGGCCTGGGGTGGAGGCCGGGGGGGGGGGGGGTGGAAGGGTGAAGAGGGGTATGGGGGAAGGGGACACATGTAATACTTTCAACAGTAAAGATTAAAACAAGTTTCTTGCCTTGAGAGAATCCAGAAATAAGGAAATGGAACTATGTAGAATGGTGGTATTTTGTGATATTCTGTACTAACTGTATCTAATTTTGAGAGATGTTGCTTACCAAGTAGAATGGAAAATAATGTCAACTATTAAAATATAGCCCAGCCAGGTGTGGCTCAGCAGTTGAGCACTGACCCAGGAACCAGGAAACCAGGAGGTCACCAGTTCAATTCCTGGTCAGGGCATATGCCCGGGTTGCGGGCTCAATCCCCAGTGTGGGGTGTGCAGGAGGCAGCCAACCAATGATTCTCTCTCGTCACTGATGTTTCTCTCTCTCTCTCCCCCTCCCTTCCTCTCTGAAATCAATAAAAATATCTTTTTTAAAATATATATAGGTACTATGTCATTTTATATTGTCTGCATTTCTGCTTAGCATATTTGGGGAGGGAGTACTCTGGGCAGAGGTCTAGAGAAATGGATGTCATTAAGAAATCTTTGGAGCGGCAAATGGCCCACCTGAGGCTAAAAGGAATATCTTTCTTGATTTTACCTTCAGATCCTGATTAGATGGACGTCTGAAGTCAGATGGGAAAAACCCTGTGAATCCCACTGCTATAGACTGAATGCGTCTCCTCCAAAATTCATAGGTTGAAACCTAACCCACAACTGTGATAGTATTTGGGGGTGGGGCTTTTGGGTCATGAAGGTGATTGGGTCATGAGGGTGGAGCCCTCATGAATGGGATTAGTGCCCTCATGAGGAGAGACCCCAGTTAAGCCATAGCAAGAAGTCAGCATGTGCACCTGGGAGAGGGCCTTCCCAGAACCCATCATGCTGGTCTTGGCCTTCCAGCTTCCAAAACTGTGAGAAAGAAATTTCTATTGTTTACCAGCCACCCTATCCATGGTATTTGTTATAGCAGCCTGCATGGACTAAGACTACCTTAAAAAATAAGAGCAGTGGGCAGTCACCCGAAAAAGCTATAGTAGGTATTAGGACTGTAAAATGTTGTACAAATTATACAAATTTGGTAATCCTGCACATTTCTTTATTTTTTTATTTTGTTAGCCTCCATTTCCTCACAGGGCTTAGCAATTTAGCCCTCCCTTATGGTGAAAAGAACATGACTCTCATTGAGTGTGGGGGATAAAAACTACTTGGGGGGGGGGCAGTTAGGCAATAACTGTTTTAAATGTACCCACCCAGAAGAGCTCACGTGTGCAAGGAAGGTGTGCGCACAAGCAGGTTCCCTGCAGTGTTCCTTGTTCAGGCTAAAGACCGAAAAGCACTAAAACATCCCTCAACAGGGACTGATTCATTATATGCACACTCTGGGAAAAAGACAAATCTGCATGTGCCCCTGTGGAACAATTTCCAGCATGTAGTGTGAAATAGAAATAAGCAAAAGTCAGAACTGTGTGTAGTGTGCTCACATGTGTACCAAAAAAAAGACCATACACACAGGTGTCTACACACAAAGAGCACATGTTGGCAAAACTTTCCTTTCTCTGTCACAACTATTCGGCTCTGCCGTTGGAGTGAAAATGCAGCCTCCAGACAATGTGAGAGTGGGCATGGCTGTGTTCCAATAAAACTTTATTTACAAAAACAGAGAGCTGGCTGACTCTGGCCCATGGGCCAGTATTTCCAGGAAGATGTATAGATACAACACTGCTGGGAACAGGAGTTGCTTTGTAGGGCAGGGTAGGCCAGGGTAGGAGGGGGATTTACTTATCACTGAGCAGCCTTTCGTACTTCTTGAACTTAAAAGATGATTATATCACTTTACTCGGTAAAAGCAGCCTAATGAAGGGGAGGGCACAGATATGCTATTTGGGAAGCAGCAGGATCCAGGGAGTGCTACCCAAGGTTTGAGCAGCCCAATGTAATTTCCTAATACATCTCAATAAATCTTAAATGAGAATGTAAACTTCTACCGATTTCCTTAGAATTAGCAAGAAATTTTTGAACCTGGTTTATTTTTGAAGATTGTATAGCTGGACTGAAAAGAGTTTTGCTGCGAATAACATTTACTCATTTACATCCGCTTGACTCACTCTCCCTTAAAGAACACCTACGGACAGTGAGCTGCCCTGCAGAATCCGTGTCCTCTCCGGCCACATCTCAGTGTCTCCCTGTGGGTTTCCCCGGGGTCCTGTTCTCAGCTCACTGCTCTTCTCACCCATACTCTTCCTGGGTCTCTGGATTTCAACTTGCACATACACAATGTCAACACTTTATCTCTAACCCCCACCTCTTGCCCAAGCCTCCAAAGTGAACAGCCAATTGTTTGAGAGACATGTCCACTAAGATGTCTAAGGCACTCAACCTCAAAGAGTCCAGAATTGAACCTGACATTTCATCTCTTCTGTGTTTTCTGTCTCAGTTTATAGTGAGACCATCCACTCAATGAGCCAAGCTTGAAACTCAAGAGCCATCTGACTCTTCCATTTTCCCATACCCACATTAACAAATCACCTCATTAACACGCCTCAAACCCAGTCTTTCCTCTCCATCCTGTTACCACGTCCGGACAACACCTTTGCTGACTCAGAACCCAGGTCGAAGGAACCCCAATCAGGCGCATGGCTCAGAGTCCCTTGCCTTCTGCTCCTCCACAGTGAACTGAGTAGGGTTCCATCCACTCAGTCTCAAGACCACAGTTCCTGCCAGTTGTTGGAAAGTGTGGGAAAACTGACTCCCAATGAACAAGGCGACACAACCTACAATCCCAGAAGCCCGAGCACACGTTCAGAATTGGGTGTTGTGTCTATGGCCATACCACCCTGAATGCACTCAATCTCGTCAGAATTGGGTGTTGTGATAAACTTAGATTAATCAATCCCAAATCAATCAATCTGTCTCCTCATCGTCCTAATTCATGGTAATTAGGCATAAACAGAAAGCAACTTACACAAATGGCTAGAATTAGAAGGAATCTTACCCAAATGAATTTTTTGCTTTTTCTTTTCTTACTTTATTGGTCCATGAAATCTCGAATTAGCATTAGTTAATAGTTCCCACTGATACCACAGTGATTAAAATGAAAAGCCCTCACATTTCTAAAGAGGTTTACAAAGGCTTCCAGAGCTGTCATGTCATTTATGACATATCATTTAATTACCAGCTTCACACTTACGTAAAAAGGCAAAGGCCGGCTCCCGGTCCCGCCACCCTTTCCCGGGCGCCCCTCTGCACCACCTTCCCCTACGCCTTCCTGAGAACGAATGCCTGGAGCACACACTTCTGACTCCAACCTGCTGCCTGGGGAGGCTGAGTCGGGCGAGGAGACCTGGCTGCCTGCCCAGAGAGGGAAGGTCACAGGGCACCCGGAAGGGAGAGGTGGCAGGCACGCTCTGGGTCCCATGTCTGAGCTCCAGCAGTGAGGGACCAGAGTCCATTTTAAAGGAAGAAGGAGCGGGAGTTGGACAGCCCAGGCACCTGGCTTTTGATCCTTCCAACCAGGTGTCTTTAAGGGGAACACCTTGTCTGTCTGTGGGCCAGGCTTTGACATCAGGGGAAAGAATCAGCCCTAAAATAATACCACCCTGCCCCCAGTCAAAGCAAAACCCCTTCACAGAAATTCCTTGACTGAAAGCATTCCTTTCCCCAAGTTAGAAGATGTGATGGTACAAGATGAGCTTCTGTCAAATGCTGAAAGGGGCCACTGGCCTCTTCCCCGTGGTGAGAAGTCAGCAGCTTATCTCGGGCTCTCAAGCCTGCAGGAAGTTCCAGACCAAAGTGCCCAATCAAGGCTCCACTTTCGGACACCCAGGGCCCCTCCCAGCTGGGTCTGCGATTTGCTTAGGGAACACCCAGCAGCAGCAGAGTCAGGGCCAGAAGCTGGAGGTAAGCTGGGAGCAGGCACCAGCCCATGTGGCACCGCCTCCCTTCCCTGCCAACTGCAGCCCAGGCCTGCGACAACCCCAAGGTGCCAGGTCTGGAGGGAAGAAAGGGAGCGCCTAGGCCTGCCCCACGTCTGACTTGAGTTGGTTGGTCGCAGGCTGGCAGCTATGCTGGCCCCTGGTTCCTAGGAGACCAGGGTAGCAACGCCTTCTTCTGCAAACACTGAAAAGCTCGTGAGCAGGAAGCAGGCAGGTGTTTTGCTGCCCAGAAGCCGTCTTATAATTACACTAGAGGCCTGGTGCACAAATTTCATGCACTTGGGCGGGGGAGGTTCCTCAGCCCAGCCTGCACCTTCTCGCAGTCCAGGATCCCTCAGGGATGTCCTGCATTGAGCATCTGTCCCCTGGTGGTCAGTGCACATCATGGCGACCGGTCGTTCTGGTCATTCTGCTGTACCGGTCACTTAGGCTTTTATTACATAGATTACAAGTAATCTCCCACCCATGGGAGAAGGGTATTTCCTCTCCCACCCACCCAGGCAGAGAAGGAAGCCTGACCCAGCATGGAGCCTATCCCCACATGGGTTCAGTTCCTGGTGATGACAGCAGAACTGAGAAGGAAATGATAGTGAGGTCTGATCACCAGAGCACAGCTGAAATAGGGGCTATTGGATGATTCAATAAAAACCCAACAGGATGTTGAGTGAAGCTTTTCCCCCAAATCATCATTTTCCCCAGCCCTTCCAGGTGCTGTTTACAGCCTTAAGGGAAATAGCAGGCACAAAGGTACACCCAGCTAAGTAGTTATAATTGCACTCAGGGCTAAATGGCACAGCCATTAGCAGCTCCTCAATGCACTCTCCTTAAGTCAGCGATTTCAAAATCCAGACACATCATAGAAGTGCATGCTTCCTTTCCCAGGGAAGGAAAGGGGTGGTAAGTCATGAATGGGAGGAGGAAACTGGAAGAAAGGTACTGAATAAGGTT